CTAAATAGCATTTAGTTATACCATATACCATGCTCATGTACAGTGAAAGATACATCATTTTTAAACACATTAGTAAATATTTTACCAAATTCATATTCATGTTATACACTTAATCTGTACTCCGGGAGTTAAGTGCTTTGTTCGCAGTGTGCATGAGTATAATGGACCATGTGGCGATATTTGTAACAATTATTTATCATTCTCAACTGTGTACTTTTACGTAACAATTTTGACAGTAATCGATCATGTGATAGACGAATCAATCTCGTTATGACAAGAATAACAGCTTCCCGTGCAGCCAGGCCTTTGAGCGATAAACAGCGGCATCCACCTGCTTTCGAAGTACGAAAAAACAAGTAATGTTCGGCGAATAGGCAGTTTTTCATCTGGTTATTGCATTTTAAACAATATGTTTAGCTTTTCAGATTTTTGAAGTTCCAAATAAAAGATTCATTATCAAATTACAGGGGCTAGGTATGCAACCACTTGGATTGAGAACTGATCAGTGAATATAAGACAGCAGAGATCACTGGGGGGATGTAATTAATGGAGTACCTGAGGGATCTGTACTTGGATTACTGCGGTTCCTAATTTGTATCAAGATTCTGGTATAGTCAGTGAACTATTGAAGTGTGAAGATGATAAAAAAAACCAGAAGAATTAATAAATACTGTTGAAGGACTTTTCTTAATGTAATTTAAGCCTGGGTTAACACCGGGCAGATAATGTTATTGTAGACAAGTGCAGAGTATTGTATGCCGGTTGCAAAAACGTAAATTATAGATACAAAATAGGAAACACTGAGCTTGAAAAGACATATGAAACTGCTTTAAGTATTTATATTGACACATCATTTACACCTCTTAGGCAAAGTGAGGAAACACAAACACAGAATATGTAGTTAAAAGCAATTTAAATCAATGGATATTATGGTACATTTGTATCATACACTAATAAGACCTAATTTAGAATATTATGTACTGATCTGGTCACCGCATTGCAAAGAGATAGTGACAGAGACAGTGCCATGTTTTTTGTTGCTGCAGTCTTTTGAATAAGATGTTAAACCAGGGTCCTGACTACAGTATGTGATGTCAATAGAGATCCCATGACACTGTCTGTAAAAGTAGAGCTTTTAACCCTTAATTTAAATTAACCCCAGTGCCCTGACTATATTCCACTATGGGCTGAATGATCTGGTCACAATTAAGTTCCTCCTTAGTTCAATTTCTTAATCAGTGTCTTATGTCTCTGTCTGATCTGTTGTGCAGTGGGGTTTGCTGGTACAAAATGGCTGTTACCCATCAGCCTAGTGGGTGGGAACTGTACTTATGTGTTAGCTTTTTTTGTAACTCAGGAAATGGTTTCAGTAAATGAGAATTAAATTAGAAAAAATGTCCATCCAGTTCCAGTCAGCCCATTTTTGAAGCTGATTGGTTCTACAGTGAGTTGGTTAACAAAACCATCCATCCATTTTCTAACTGCTTCTTCCAATTCAGTATTATGGGGCAGTCGGAGCCTGACCTGGCAAGCAGTGGGCAAAAGGTGGGGTACACCTTGGATGGGAGGCCAGTTCATCACAGAGCACACACAGATACACACACATACTCACTTGCACCAGGGCTAATTTCTCAGAAGCAAATTAACCTACCAGTATGTCTCTGGACTGCGTAAAGAAACCGGAGCACCTGGAGGAAACTGTATTGAACATGTAGATAACATACAAAACTCGAAACAGATATCACCTCAGGAGCAGGAGTAATGCTAAAAGCTGTGCCACAAGAAATTTGTCAACAAGCTGTAATCTTAGTGACCAAAGCCATGTAGTATTCCTGGTATCCACAAGAGAGCACCAAAGAACTGTTAATTTATCCTAACCCTCCCACCTTTGAAGCAGGCTTTCGACCTGAGTACATGTCAAGAGCTAGGGAAAAAAATGATATAACAAACACTTGAGGAACACGACGTGCAACTCAGAACTCCACTATGAAATGCAAATGAACCTGTGTTTACTGGTGATTTATGCGTTGGGTTGCAATAGGTCACAGAGCTGCATTTTTATTCCTTTATTTGAAGAAGCAAATGTAATTCTACAAATCTGCATACTCAAGGTCACTGTGGAGTATTTTGAATTAAACAACACAAAGCTGGGACTGTTCAGTTTCCATGCCACGGCTAGCTGTCACAAGCTCACCCCTGAAAGTCTGTTGGTAATCCATTGCATTATTTTAATTGGAATAAGCTTCCTGTGTGCTGAGATAGACAGACAGATTTGGTGTGACCCACTGTTCACTGCTCTGTGATCAGCAGGCATTCGATTTTGCAGTTGATGTTGTCCATTTCCTTTGTGCAAATCTGGAGCTGACCTGTGTATAACCCTCAAAAAGAGTGCTTCTCGGGACAACAGGCGATGGTCAGTGAGAGGACAACGGGTCTCATTTTCAAGGCCTTTGACTTATACTTGAACCAGCTGCTGTAGACAGCAGAAATAAACATAGTGTTGGCCTGTTTTCTTCTTAAAGAAATCTCTTTCTGGATTCTGTGTACTCTATTCCCAGTAACATAGGTGGTTTAATTATTTAATTAACTGCCTAATTGGAATACTACCAATCAGGTCCTGAGGTGTTCAATAGGTAATTGTGCATTTAATGAAGGTTTCGAGTAATTGACTGTAAAAGACCTTACAAATACCCTATACATGTGTGATATAATTCATTAAGAAAATAATTAGGTTAATTGTTTAATAGAATATTTAGGTTGGAAGAAAATTCTGAATACTCAGGCTAGAGGTATTTTACTATGGCATCTGAATACTATGCTATTCCAAGTCTTTGCTCCAGCTTATCCTTAATTAATTAGTGATCTGCGTCACTGGGATTAGATAAGCAATTAAGGATCAGTTCAGTGTGTACCTACCATCCAGGGCTAACAAAACTACTTTTGAAGAGTTCAGTTGCACTGCTTTTCCCTGCTTTGTCTCTCTGATGGTGACTAGAAACAGTGCTATGTTTACACTGTTAGGAGGCTCTGCTGGATCATTTAAGTCTGATCCATTTTTTAAAGACCCTGCATAGCATTCCTAACATTTATTTTCTTTCATTTAAAATAAACATTATGGATTTTCTGCTTAAAATCTCTTTTCGAATATCCCCAGTCGTTTCTTATGTAAAAGTGGGATGTGGATTGTGGAGGTAGGACATTCTGCTGGGACACTATTGTCCAAGTCCTTAAAAAGTGCTTTTCTTTCTCTCTGCTTCTGTAGTTCTGAATCTCTCCCCACTGTTTGTGCTCAACCCTATAGCTGGACTCAACCACTGTGGAGATGACACTTGGTAAGAATGTTTTAATTCAGAATATGTAATCCTTGCTGTACTTATACACATGTTCTATAATACTGTTGACTTAATAATGAACAGGTCATTTATTTCCATCAGATTATTAACCTTTCTTGGGTGATCTATAATGAATTAACACTTTAATATACTGTATGTTGGGGCACTGTACCATTATAGTATATTGTTGATATGAAGGTCTAAGCCACAGACAGTAAATAATACAATTATAAATGCATCAGTTATGTGCGCTTAACATGATAAGCCAGAAAAAGTCTTCCTTCCAGCTGCCAGTGAAGCTACACATACACACTCTTCAATAAACCTCATTTAAGCTTATGCAATGCTGTTTATCTAGTTGCTGGCTGCTTTCCACTGCCCTGTTGTCGAGTGGGTTGCTCTGCTGTGAGCAGAAAAGGGAGGCAAGGGGAACTGTTTTGTTGTAGACTGCTCAACAACAAAGTACTTAACAAGTTTTCTACTTGAGGGAGGCACATGACACAGAGTAAGATAGTGCTTCTCAAAGCAAGGTCAAGGCATCATTGAACAATGTTATAAGGTGATAA